AGCTAGTTCGAAATCAATGGAAAATGGTGTTCTAAAATACTACTAATAAGATGGGATAAACCATATAAACTAAGACACTAGGGAAGACGGGAATTCACCAAACCATCGGTAACTACGCAACAAGGAATCACAGAGACAAACGGGATATGCAAAGACTATATGTCTGATCAATATCATGTGATAGGAAGACAACGGGCAATATTAAGCTTGGATTTCTCATGCACTTAACATTACTCGATACATAATCAAACCACATTCAACAATGAAATACTCAATTCACAATCTCTTGTTCAAATCAAGGAAATCATGCAATCAAATTCAAGATTCTAGGTTAGCTACTCCTATTATAATGAATTAACATGCAATCGCATATAATCAATTTAATCACAATCCGTTTATCAAAATCAATCCTCAATTACATAGGTTACCTAGGCCGGGTTTCATCCCGAAACCCTAGCTAGGAGACTACTCACACATATTCATAATCAAAGCAATAATGAATTCCAAAAGCATAATAAATATAAACATGAATTCTGATTAAGGAATAATAAAGCTTGATTAATAAACAAGAATGAATAATACCAATTGTATTGATGCGAATCAATGGAAAAGTTCAGAACTTTGATATCCGTCGTCAATGAATAATACAAAGAATCTTCGCAAATCTTGCTTCAAATCAATCCAGGTAAACTAAAATCTCTAGAAATATCTCTAAGAAAACTAATAAATCTCTAATACTAAGAACGTTCTCCAATAACTCTCTACAAAGGCTCTCAAAACTATCTCTAAAAAACTGTATCTTAACCCTTACAATCGGGCTATATATATATGTTTTAAATCGGAAAGTAAATCGCAGGCTGCCCTTCGTGAATCGGCACGGCCGTGCTGGAAGTGGCACGGCCGTGCATGCATGGCAGTAGCTGATCCGCAATATCTTCAATTATGGCACGGCCGTGCTGAATTTGGCACGGCCGTGCTAATGCCAGGCACGGCCGTGCTGAATCTGGCACTGGCACGGGCATGGAAATTGGCTTGGCACGGCCGTGCTAATGCCTGGCACGGCCGTGCTAAAAGTGGCACGGCCGTGCAGCATAGGCAGGAAGGTTGCAGGAACTTTGGTCTTCTTAAAACAGTCACAACTTCTTATCCAGAGCTTCGTTTGAGGCGTGAAATATATCGTTGGAAAGCTCTTTATATCTACTTTCCAATGCAATTGGAATCATTCCATTATCATTTGTATACCGAAAGTTGTGAGCAAAATAGTGAACAGGTGTCATATTTGTGAACTGTTCTGCCTTGCCTGCTATTTAACTTGCCTTTCAAGGCCTTGAGAACCGCAGCAAAGCCTTAGCTTGGTGGACTAGGATCGATAATAGCCTGATTACGCACCAATGGTTCGGGACTCGACATAACTTGGTCAACTATACCTGTTAACACACCAAAAACAGACCGAACCCCGTGAAGCACGTAATATGAAGGAAACGAGTGTAACAAGGCAATAAACGACCAAAACGGGCCTAAATACATCCAAAATCACCCATTTATATGCCTTAAAGCGCGCCCTAATGTGCGCTTGTCAAAATCCCCCAAGCTACACTTTTTCTAGTCCTCAAGCAAAACTAAGGGATACACACACACAGGATCAAATAAACTATTGCCATTACATATAAATCCAATTTAGCATGGAATGAAGTCAATGGATCCTACTTAGAACAACCACGCACGGAATGAAAACTCACTCAAACAAGCAACGAGACACACAATCCAAGGTATCCTTGATCAAAATGCAAACAAAACCTAAACTAAGCATATTTGACGAGGGTTAAATCGGTCGCTACAATCTAACTCTCAATCAAACAATACTTATACGAACACCCTATTACCAAGTACAATGGCAAATAAAGGTTCGGTCCACGAGGAACGAGAGTAATTGCAAATCAATCTTAAACCTAAGCTAGTTCGAAATTAATGGAAAATGGTGTTCTAAAATACTACTAATAAGATGGGATAAACCAGATAAACTAAGACACTAGGGAAGACGGGAATTCACCAAACCATCGGTAACTACGCAACAAGAAATCACAGAGACAAACGGGATATGCAAAGACTATATGTCTGATTAATATCATGAGGTAGGAAGACAACGGGCAATATTAAGCTTGGATTTCTCATGCACTTAACATTACTCGATACATAATCAAACCACATTCAATAATGAAATACTCAATTCACAATCTCTTGTTCAAATCAAGGAAATCATGCAATCAAATTCAAGATTCTAGGTTAGCTACTCCTATTATAATGAATTAACATGCAATCGCATAAAATCAATTTAATCACAATCCGTTTATCAAAATCAATCCTCAATTACATAGGTTACCTAGGCCGGGTTTCATCCCGAAACCCTAGCTAGGAGACTACTCACACATATTCATAATCAAAGCAATAATGAATTCTAAAAGCATAATAAATATAAACATGAATTCTGATTAAGGAATAATAAAGCTTGATTAATAAACAAGAATGAATAATACCAATTGTATTGATGCGAATCAATGGAAAAGTTCAGAACTTTGATATTCGTCGTCAATGAATAATACAAAGAATCTTCGCAAATCTTGCTTCAAATCAATCCAAGAAAACTAAAATCTCTAGAAATATCTCTAAGAAAACTAATGAATCTCTAATACTAAGAACGTTCTCCAATAACTCTCTACAAAGGCTCTCAAAAATATCTCTAAAAAACTATATCTTAACCCTTACAATCGGGCTATATATATATGTTTTAAATCGGAAAGTAAATCGCAGGCTGCCCTTCGTGAATCGGCACGGCCGTGCTGGAAGTGGCACGGCCGTGCAAGCATGACAGTAGCTGATCCGCAATATCTTCAATTATGGCACGGCCGTGCTGAATTTGGCACGGCCGTGCTAATGCCTGGCACGGCCGTGCTGAATCTGGCACGGTCGTGCTAATGCCTGGCACGGCCGTGCTGAATCTGGCACGGCCGTGCTGAATCTGGCACTGGCACGGGCAAGGAAATTGGTTTGGCACGGCCGTGCTAATGCCTGGCACGGCCGTGCTAATGCCTGGCACGGCCGTGCTAAAAGTGGCACGACCGTGCAGCATAGGCAGGAAGGTTGCAGGCACTTTGGTCTTCTTAAAACAGTCACAACTTCTTTTCCAGAGTTTCGTTTGAGGCGTGCAATATATCGTTGGAAAGCTCTTCAAGTCTACTTTCGAATGCAATTGGAATCACTCCATTATCATTTGTATACCGAAAGTTGTGAGCAAAATAGTGAACAGGTGTCATATTTGTGAACTGTTCTGCCTTGCCTGCTACTTAACTTGCCTTTCAAGGCCTTGAGAACCGCAGCAAAGCCTTAGCTTGGTGGAATAGGATCGATAATAGCCTGATTACGCACCAATGGTTCGGGACTCGACATAACTTGGTCAACTATACCTGTTAACACACCAAAAACAGACCGAAACCCGTGAAGCACGTAATATGAAGGAAACGAGTGTAACAAGGCAATAAACGACCAAAACGGGCCTAAATACATCCAAAATCACCCATTTATATGCCTTAAAGCGCGCCCTAATGTGCGCTTGCCAACGGCTGCAACTGTGAGGGTACGAGGAAATCAAGTGCGCCCAAACAGTAAATCTGCGCGCCCGCGCAGCAGGTTGCGGGCCCGCACAGAAGCCGCACAATAGTTCGCGCAAACTCTCTGGTTTAGCTCTGTTTCTTCAGCCCAGCTGTGCGGGTTCCGACAAGGCTGCGCGCCCGCGAAACAGCCGCACAACATCCCGCGCAGAACAGTTTTATTGGCTTCTTGAAATCCTCTTTCTTTTGGCACAAAATACCTACAAAACAAAAGCATGGAAATCAAAATAAAGAGAAGGAGAGAAGACTAAGAAAAGGGAAGATAAAGGAGAAACGAAAGGAGGAAACAAAACTAGGTAAAAATGCTTAGAAAAAGGGACAAACAAGTGCATATGAGGGGAGAATCCTTAGAGAAAGAGGATAAAAGAGTGGCATAAAGGCCACTCATCAAAATCCCCCACACTTGCCTCTTGCTTGTCCTCAAGCAAGGAAAACTGGAACAAAAAGACAAACACAACAAACATAACAAGACAAGGTTTTAGCAAAACCAATTAACCCTCAAGGTAGTGAAATGCTCCATTTGGACTGACATGCAAATAAATGCACCAAAGAATACTTATCTTTCGTAATTTAAAGAGGGGAAACACGTTCCAAGATGTTCAAGGTTGAAAATCACAAATTTAAGCTAAGCATAGAGAACTAATGATTTCATTCTCCGCCCTAACCCCAACCAAGATGGTCCGCGTTCTCTGCACTAGCTTCAATTCATCCCCTAGCTAGCTCCTCATGATTCCTCGAGGGAACCGGAAAAAGAAATTTTTATGTGGAATCATAAGGTCATCCCGACATCTCAACTATGCGTACTCTCTCCATAGGGTTGAAATCTACCTCCCTCCACTGTTCTTTGACCACGCCCCTCTAAAATCCAAGGGTCTTAAGTAGGGGCTGTAATGTCATGGCTAGGGGTTAAGGTTGGGAAACAATTTGATAATTTTGGTGGCAATTCCTAAGTGAAGCATAAGAGTGGCCATCTCTCAAGAACATCCTAAGAATTGAACCTATTCTTAAACTTACAACCTTTCAAAACAAACCACGCCACATTACTTCAATCTTTTTCATATTTTTTTTCACCTTTTTTTTTGTGCTTGGTTTTCATGAGTTTTTAACTTTCTTGCCAAACCTTTTTTCATACTCTTTTCATGAATAATCTTTCAAAACCTTACTTGAACAAAATTACACAACTTTCTTGCTCAATTTCAACATTATCAAACTCGAACCTCACAAGATAATGCTTCACTAACTACAAGGGTTGGTAGAACATAGGCCGATAGGTTTGTAATATGGCTAAGTCAAGAAAGGGGAAATAAGGCTTAAATTGGTTAGCAAGTGGGTGAATGTAAAAATGAAAACCAAATTTGTAACAAAACACAAATAAAACAAAGAAAAATGAGAAGAAATGCCCTTTTCCTCCTTTAGAGTTATATGGTCACGATCTTGGGAGCTAGACACCAATACAAAGATTAAGATATGCATAGTTAAGGATTCTAAATGCCGCTCACAAGAATGATGAAGGCTAGAACAAATGACGCTCACACGGGATAAGAAATATAGCAAATACCAACCAGGGGAATCCTATCCACCATAGAGATCAACACCATCTTACCACTTTCTCGTGAACTAGGGGTTCAAACGTCCTCAAAAGTTCTAAACCGGGCTACCTTAGCTTACAATGTGTCTAATTCAACCCAAAGCATTCTCAAAGCGTGTAAACCCTCATCAACTAGGAAGATAAGCATTCAAAGACACATCGTCAAGAGAGGCAAACCAATCCAAAAGAGTGAGCAAATTACAAATCAAAAATCATTTCAAATTGTCATAATTATGCTTGTAACACAAAAAGGGAAAAATTGAACAAAAGAAAGAGGAAGAAATAAAAAAAGGTTCACATACAAGGCATATAATCCAATTAAATCCCAATCGTCATACAAGTGATCGTTCGATAACAACATCAACGATCCCAGGTTCCATAGAACCAAAAGCTAACGTCCTCGAACCATTCAACTACTTCCTAAGCAAAACCTAAGCTAAACACCCAAAGAAAAGGAAAATAAAAGAGAGCAAAGGTCTCACCAAATGCCGCTTGAAATGAGGACAAGATAAATTATGCAAGCTCACCGAGGGGGCTCGATTTTCCCCATAACTTCTTTTATCTCCATTTCCAAGCTTGAAAAGTGAGCCAAAACGAAAGAAACGACTAAGATAAAACAAAAATAAATAAAAAGGTTAAAAAAAGGAAACTAAGACTTTAAACAAAATGAAGAAATAGAAATAAAATAAAACAATCTAAAAAAAATTTGGAGTAAGGGAAATTTTGATTATTGGGAGTTTGGAATTTTCTTCATAGGAGCGCCATCACCTACACAAACAGTTGAAAATTCATTAGCAAAAGCTTATCAAAATTACCCAGAGACATCATCATCACAATCAAGAAGATAAATCAACATCAAAACATGATAAAGCCAAACCGAACCATTAGAGCTCTCCCACTGACAATGAAATCCCCCCCAAACTAGCATGATGATAAGCCTTCACCACTACTACAATAAGAGTATTTTCTCCAGGACCCTCGACGCTGGGCAAGGATAGTCAACTATTAAATATACTATGCGCATTATCTCGACGCTTTTCTCGGTCAAAATTAATTTTCGGCGCTTTAAAGCGTCCAGAAACAGTAACACGTGCCCTTCACGTGACTTTAAAACCCACTATTGTAAAATTTAGGGAAAATGAAACCGCCGAACGCAAAAAAAAAAACCTCTAGTCTTACTACTCAATTGTAAACCTAACTATTCTTCTTTCTTTCAATCCTAATTCTACAAAGACACTTATGGAACTGTTGATTCCAAACTCAGATCTTTGTTTTTCTCGCAGCAATTTTAAAATGAGGACTATCATTTTGTAAATCAGATTTTTGCTCCTCTTTGAAGTTATTTCGAATTGAGGTACATCAATTTCATATTCAGATCTTTGTTCTTATCAGGTTCAAATTCGAATTCAGGTACATCATTTCAAAATTCAAGTCTTTGTCTCTCTTTGAATTAATTGTTAGATCTTGACCCAAGATTGTAATCTATGTTGCCCTCTCAGTGCCAATCGATAATATAAAGATACATTTCTTTTTGGGATTCAAATTTATTTCCAAATTGAATCTTGTAATTTTTGTTTAATTTTTATTTTTCAATAATCTCAAGAATTATGCTTAGGTATGGGTTAGCTTCATGAGCAATTAATGGGATTTTAGGGTTCTATATTGTTATGTTTCATTTTGTGCTCCTGTTTATTTCAATTCTAAAAATTATCCTTTTGTTTTCATGTGTTTGAATGAGCATAATCACATTGTTTTTCGTCTCGTAATTCTATCACAAATTGCAGTGTTAGTTTTTCGAAGGAGCTGCTGTGAGTGTTGACTTCGTTGGACTCGTTCTACTTCGTTAGGGAAGATTTTTAGGTGATGTTTTTTTGAATCTGGGTCTTTTTATGTCTTCTTTCTGACTTTAAAATTTCAGAATTTTTGTAGTCACTTTGCTATAAAAATGGGCTGTTTTATTTGGACTGCTCTGTTTTAGTTCGTATTTGTTTATTCTTGTTGTTTGGCTGCGATTTTAATAGGGTTGTACTGTAATTTTTTCAAGGGAGTTTCTGTGTCATTTAGGCTATATTGAGAGTGTTTGAAATTATTATTGCACTCTTTATTGCCCATGTGTTTCTTCCTTCTACTGTTTTTCTTGTTCGTTTATTTTTCACTTGTTTGTTATTACTAGGTAGATGAATTGCTAAATAAAATAACTTGTGGATGATTTCCATTAGAAAAGTGAGTAACTTTATTAGAGAACAAAACAACTAAATAGTCAGTCGAGGCTTTCTCTAAACTAATACTTGACAACATAAAGAAGAAGAAAAAAAAAGAGGATAGTGACGACGATTCTTCAAGTGACGACGAGGGTCAAAGCACTCTAATCTCGATAATAAGGATATAAACTTGTTCCCAATTTTGCATAGAGATGGCCATATTATATGAGGATGCTATTGAAATTTCTAGAAAATTATCTAAATGCTTCCTTTTCTCTATATGAATTTGTGGTGCATTGTATGTTGCCTATGTTTTTGTTGCCTAACAAAATTAAAGCAGGAATGCTTTAGTAATGTTGAAGTCAATGGCCAGAAGAAAATCATTGAACCGGCTTTTATAGCTTGCTTTAACTTTGGAATATCATGAATGTCATTCTATGTTAGGCAAGCATACACAAATAAGTTAGGTATTTATCTTAAATTGAAATTTTTCTACCATTCATTGTTACTTAGTTAGCGGGACTGCCATTTTAAGCTTCAATATAGTTAAAGAACTACCGATAAAGTTCTGTTTATTTTCTTATTCATATACCAGGCATTGATGCATCTGTTCCTGTACCTTGTTTTGGTGTAGGATTCTAAATTGTTTTACAAGTGCGTGAGAGATTTAAAATCCTTCATTATAAAGAAACTATTGCAGGAAAGGTAGGTATAGGGTCACATGCTGCTAGTGGTGTCAAGAAATACATGGGAGAATGTCCAGGAAGGAATATTGAATCACTTGCTTCCTTCCCATTAATTCAAATTCTTAAAAAGCTTGTTTTACTTAATGGTTCGTTCAATCCTCTGAGGTAAATACACGAGATGGCTTATTCAAAGGTCCTATTATGGATGGAAAAAGGTAAAACTTTGTCCCAATAAATTAGTCCAAATTGCATAAATAACTTATAATTTATTATGATTTCTCTTCATTTCTTGCTGCTTGATAGTTTAATAAAGATATGGAATTTGAACAAGTTATCTGGGATTATCGGAGTGGTTTACTGTCGGAGTAGGGGGTTGGCCATTGAAAGATAATATTCTTGATACTTTAATACCAGGAATTATTTCAGGCCAAATCAGGCCCACTGAGGTCGAATTCCTTGGAAAGGTTGGTGATGATACCTCGCAATGAGATTGTGTAGTTTATGCTTTCAATTCCGATAAACTTGTCATTTAAACTTAGCAGTGTAGCATAGCCTAATAAACTTTCCTGATATGTTCAAGTAGTTGCTTGACTACTAATAATTCTCCGAATTACATGATACACTACTAAAACCATCACCAAAATTCCAAATATTGGAAAAGTGGAAGTGTCATTTGGCGTTCTGACATGTGAATTATATACAATATGTTCTATAAAGGTTAGTAATCAACATACCCAATCCTTATTTTCATTTTTTTGTATCTATGTGTGGCAAATTTTTATTGTTGCGGTTATTTCTATTTGAGGATTACAGGTATAAGATTATTGATTAATTTGACTGATTTTTTTTTTCATCAGACAACCTTCAAGGGCAGTTGCTTCCACTCTAAATTTTCCCTTCTTCCTCCATTCATGATGAACTTTGCTTTACGCCCTCTTGCAAGCATATTAAGGAGCAGCTAAATTGGAGATTGATTGAAGATTTTTTTTTTAGAAGAAATGAGCAAATTTCTTCCACTACAACTAGTCACGAATTAAGTATAAGTTGGAATAATATCTATTGTAATAGAAAACTCATTACTATGAGATATTGTACATATACTATAATATACCTATGTGAAATAAAAAGAAGTTTGGCCCATTTTTTTTTGCATATTTTTGTTATACTAGTAATACTTTTTTGGTATGAAATATGTTTTTTGGTAATTCTTTTTTTTTTTTATTGAGATGAATTTTTTTGGTAAATATATTTAAGATATATGTTTTCTTTAAAGAATATAAACAAGAAAAAGCGTCCCCAACACAGAAAATATAGACGGAAAAAAACGTCCCAAAATATTGAACATCAAATATTTGTAACTCTAGACATTAAAAAGTGTCACCAATTTAATGATCTTAGACACTAAAAAGCGTCGATAAAGTCAAGAAAATGTGCCAACTACTGCAAAGCGTCGAGAGACATTTTTACGACACTTTTATGTGTCGAAAATAAGGCTTAAAAGCGTTAAGAAAAACACGCTTTTTGTAGTAGTGACCCCACACTATCAAAAAACATCCCTTTGCTTCTTACACACCCCCCACAGTAAAACAATGCACCGTCCGTGGTGCGCCAAATTAAAACAATAGGAGGGGGCAAAGGGGAGAAATAAAGAACAAGGGGGGCTAGTGGCCACTAGGGCCGACTTCGTCATCATCTCCATCATCCTTGGTGTCGTAAGAGAAACCGTCCGGAGGGATGCTGTAGGGAATATTTTCAAGCATTAATCCCACTAGCTTGAACCCCACTGTGATCATACACTAAAGTACGGTGGCGTCCAAAAGGGAAGAAGATAGAGCAAAAGAGTCGTCAACAAGTTTTTAGGAACTTGTAAACCGTTCATAAGATGAAGGTTAAACCCCTTAACGATCCAAGAGATTGTCAACTCCATAAGGTGTAGAACCAAATAAGGGTTTGGGGATGAAGGTACAAATCCAACCTAAAACAGATTGAACCTGCCCTAATAATAGGCCTCTACTTTATTCTGATCGTATTCATGTGCGCTTTCTAATTAACATGCAATCAATAGGATTAGCCTAAACCTGTTTATCTATGTTAGTTGAATATTAATGCACAAATAAATCTATTATTGGCGATCACTTGATATTATAATCACAATTAGCCCTAAACAAGATTATTAATTATCTTATTAAGCGCGATTACAAGTACCAATTCCCTTTAAACATGCAATAAAGGTGGTCAAGCATTAACAATAAATATAATCAAGCAACATAATAATAATCAATAATAATTATAATCAATAATCATATTAAAGCATAATAATAATAGCAAGATCCTAGGCATGATACTAACAAGATTAATAACAAACCCTAGCATGTCGCTAAGCAATAAAAATCAAATCTTTAGCCCCAACATGATACTAACAATCATGAATATTAGGAAGAACATAGGAAGCATCGTAACAATCATATTTAATATTAAAATTACCCTAGACATGATACTAGGAATATCATAATAACAATACATGATGTCTACATCATAATATAATTAAAACAATTAAAGTACTTACTTTGATGCCTCGTACCTCTTTCTAATAACAAAATACACAGGTTAGTAACTTCAAGGAAAATAATAATCAAACAATTAAATTAAATAATTGAAAGAGAGATTTGAGACCAAACCCTCAGAAATTAAACCTTTCACATCTAGGGCCAAGGCAACTCCGTATATGGCTAGGTGTATCTAAGTCTTGTGAATGCGGAATTTTGTATTTGAGAAAAGGCTAGTTTAGAAAAAGGAAAGAGAGAGAGATGAATAATCAAGAAAATCTTAATAAAAATTGATGAATGATTCCAGAAAACGGAGTTTTTAATACGATATTTATAGAGAAACCAGCCAAAAAGATAAATTAAACAAAATAGAGTCTGACGCACAAAAAACAGAGCTGGCGCCAACCCTGGCTAGCTGGCGCCAGGCACCAACACTAGCGCCAGGCGCCAATGGCTAGCGCCAGGCGCTAGGCCTGGTTCCAGGCGCCAAGCCTAATTTTAACGCGTTTTCAAAAATCCGATAAGTTTGCCTTACTGGAGGATAAAATCATATAATTTCCTCGAAAATGCTATTTGATTTGGATTAAAACTGTGAAAAGTTAACAAAAGTCAATTTATCAATGCTAATTGAATTAGGAATGAAAAGAACCTTCTAGAAGAATCTAGAAGACTAAAACCATTCCTAATTGCATTAGGAATGATAAATCATATTAGGCCCTCCCCTGGATCATTGGGACGTACATAAAGCTCAAACCGGGCCCAGTTTAGTAAATTGGCCATAACTTCCTCAATATTCATCGGAATTGGGCTCATAATATATCGTTGGAAAGTTCTTTGCAAGCCCCATCCAACTACACTACTATTGGACCCATATCATGGACCAACTAAACTAGATTTAATTTTTTCTTAAAATAAGTTTTCAAAAACAGAGAGAAGAGAAAAGAAAATAAAAAACTTTCCACAACACTAGACTTTCCCCACCTTCGCTTCATTCGATTATGATTCGACGCGAAAGGTACTCATCACTGGGTTTGGTTTTGGGGAGACACAAATGGGTGTCTACAAAAGCCCCCACTTTGACTGAGTTTGGATAAACGCAAGTTTTAAAAACAAAAGTCAAAGAAGCGATAGGGACGGAGAATGATTCAGAACGTTCTGCAATCCTAAATCATTCTAGTAACGCCGATACCTGAAAAAATTAGCATTAGTTAAACAGATAAAAGAGTTAAGAAACGCGTATCTTGCACCGTCGAGCACAGGTCTCTGAAAGTAACCGATTGTTTTGATGACCTCCTCCAAGCTAGAGAATTCCATCCCGCTTGAAAACCGCTACGCCTGTAACTGCTTCCAATTTGGAAGACTGCTTCGCCTGAAACGATCCTCCTCCGCTTTGATAATATTCCACGTCCAAGGGAATACCATCGAAGATTGCTTCTCTTGAAACAATCCTCATCCGCATTGATAATATTCCGCGTCCAAGGGAATACTATCGAAGATTGCTTCTCTTGAAACAATCCTCATCCGCATTGATAATATTCCACGTCCAAGGGAATACTATCGAAGATTGCTTCTCTTGAAACAATCCTCATCCGCATTGATAATATTTCACGTCCAAGGGAATACTATCGAAGATTGCTTCTCTTGAAACAGTCCTCAGTTGTTGGTGACAACCCTCCACAATCTAGGGAACGCCATCTTGCTGTTTGTTTTTACGATCTTCCGCAATCTAGGGAACACCGTCGATTAATGTTGCTACATCTCAAGCCTTTTCTTAAATCATAGTGACAACCTTTCCAATCATAGCAAAAGTCATCGAAGACCGCCTCATCATGAACCGCTCTTCTCATATCTTGGTGACAACCTCTGCAATCTTAGCGAACGCCGTCGAAGACCGCCCATCTCGTGCTATCTTCTCAAATCTTGGGTGACAACCTCCACAATCTTAGAGAATGCCGTCGAAGACCGCCCATCTCGTGCTATCTTCTCAAATCTTGGGTGATAACTTCCACAATCTTAGCGAACGCTGTCGAAGACCGCCCATCTCGTGCTATCTTCTCAAATTTTGGGTGACAACCTCCACAATCTTAGCGAATTCCGTCGAAGATCGCCCATCTCGTGCTATGTTCTCAAATCTTGGGTGACAACCTCCACAATCTTAGCGAATGTCGTCGAAGACCGCCCATCTCGTGCTATCTTCTCAAATCTTTGGTGACAACTTCCACAAACTTAGCGAATGCTGTCGAAAATAACTTTACTTGAAGTCATCCTCAGTTGTTGCGATAATATTCCAAAGAAAATTATCGAAGACCAACACTTGTAGATCTTTAAAGCTCGCTCAAACTTTGCTTCTGCTATGCCTGTACGTCGGCGCTTTCGTTTCTTTGAACCTATATGTCGGTGCCTTTTCTGCTTTTGAGCCAATGCTTAGGCGCTTTAAGCTAAAATGAGACGATCTTTCATCAGGTCGATCACTTATATGCTGTTGTAATCAAACTGACTACTCAATCATGTCAAATTTCTTATAGGGGCTAACTGGCGTACCAAGGAACCCGAAATTGCTGTATGAGGTCAAAATCACCTTTCTGAGAGGCTTCAATCTCTATCGCTGCTGAAATATCTCAGGCGCCAAGAATTGACTCTGTCGCCGAACGCTGTGATAGGGTCTTCCCTGTTCTGCTGCACCTGTATTTTTTTTTACTATAGAACTTTGTCAATCTCTTTAATTATCTTAGGGTTTACCTAAGGTTTAACATCGCTTGACTTATTGACTTAACACAACTCAAGGCATAAACTTGACTCGCTGTGATTGACTCGAGGTTGACTCGACTCAAAGTAAAACGACACGTGTGACTCATGACCCGTGTGTGCATAGTGTTGACTTAATGGGACTCAAAAATGTAAAAAAGTAAAAGTTTTCCGTCATTTTTGTGGAGGGTACCGACTTTCTCCCGAAAAAGAAAGACGCAAAAAAGAATCGAAGTTTTTGAAGGCAAGTTGAATGAGCTTAGTCAAATATCATTTGATACTATCTCTTAAGGTGCAAGGATTAATCCATCCTAGGCTATCTCAATGGTTGACTCCATGATGAAAGTATTTGGGTAACTTAGGCACGGAGGCTAAGCACTTCATACTTCAATGTGATGCAATGACAAATATGATTGATAGGCGATGTTGATATGACAAGGAATCCTTCAGCGTTGTGTTAAGATTCCATGACAAAGGGTTCCTAAGGGAAGTATATTTGGTCATGTATCTGTGATGTGCGTGAAAGTGATACTAAATTTAGGCCGCAAGGGCTAAGTGTGTGGAAAGAATATTGAAAAGAGTCAAATGGTGGTGACTCTTAGGTTAGGTAAGCTAATGATGTAGGGATCAAGCCCCCAAGTCTAGCTCTAAGTGAATAGGGATGAGCATTGGAGATCCCTTGATATGATCATGGTGCAAGTGTGTGAATGTGAATTTGAATGCACGTTTATTACGGCCGCACCTTGATGTGAGGTTGCCTACGTATCCGTTAGGAATCAGGCCGAACGTAGCTCTAGCCGAACCTCGCACAAGTGTGTATACCTCAAAAAGGTCTTTTTAAGGGTTGTAACGTAGTTAGGC